GGACAGCATTGATTGGCTGATAATCTCGTATTTAATAGAAGGTTGATAAGCAGCTCAGTATAGATCTAACCCTGGAGAGGTGCCTCTGCTGAGGGTTGATAACAGCTCAGAATAAAGAGAAATTAATCTCATGGTTGGAAATGTTTTTTTGGTGAAGGAAATGTATCTGTTTGCTTGGAAATAATTCTAGGTATTCAACTGCTAAATAAAAAATAGAGGTCTGTATTTCTTTGTGTATGATTTTATTTGTAGGTTTAAATTGAGAATTGGTGGATTACAGTAGAAATAGACAGTGACAAATAAGAGCATTTCCAAAATAAACTGTTAAAAATATGCTGACTAACCACTGTAATGTTTCTATCTCATCCCAGTTGATGACATAACAAAAAAAATCACAATTATACCTTGACTGCAATAAATTGACACATTTAAAAAAAGGTTTAAAAATATTATTTTAAACAACCTTCGGGGCTCAATGACTACTACAAATCTGCTTTCTAAAAGATCCTGTTTTAATTAACCCAGAACTATCAAACTGTTAGATTTAGTGCTCAGCTTGCTTCAGATATTTACTTTTGAATGAATCATGCAATCGCAGTGATGATAAAGCGTGTTACTGTGCCTCTTCCCCTGTATACTGAGTGATGAGTGGCGACAGCTCTCCACAGCACATTCATGGCCTAAGCTTTTCTCTTATTGGCTGCTTAGAGGCTGTCCAAAAACTTCCTGAGATGGAATCCAAGGTTTGATCATACTTACAAAAACAAAAACAGTTAGTGTTAAATCTGAAAAGCACATGTGCCCTGTTCATGTGGATGTGTATAATGTTCCTTCCAAATATCTCCATTATAATATAATAATAAGAACGTTTTAAGAACAGCAATTACCTATATTTAATATTAATATTCTAAATGCAATATATATAATATAATTATCCTTATTATTATAACTCTGCCTACGTTGTATTTGAGTCGCACAGAACAATAGATTCTCTGTGATCATACATTAATTTTATAAAATCACCACAGGACATTTATCAGAATATGCTGCCGTGCACTGCTTACTAGTTGAACAAGTTCTACATTTTGAAGTCATGTATGATAGACAGTCTAAAGCCTTGCTTTGATATTGCTCATGTCCAGTGATGTTTTGGCAGAAAACACAATTAAACCTACTGTTTCATATTTTCACAATTTGTGTTAGTCAGTCATGAACATTCACTCTCCAGGCAGTCTTGCTTTTGCAGTAGGGAAAAAGGACAGTCCCAAAATGCTTCACTTTATTGTACCTAACCTGTTAGTTCCCTGTAACTAACAACTTTTAACTTGTACATAAAATTGTCAGCCGTCCGCCATCCAAAAAGTCGTGGCAGGTCAGCAAAGAGAAATTAGTAACAGTCGAACTAATCATTCTCACATATGAATGCTGTGTACAGTGGCAGTCATTGTCCAGCAGTTGCTCCCATTGGCCCTTTTCCATACAGCTGGGGCATCCATCCTGAGCTGCGCAGTGAGCAGGTGCACTTAAATCTCACAACTGGTTTTCCATACAGCAGGACAGCATTGTAAAAAGCATTGTCTACCTGGTGTGCATGTGGAGACGGGGCGGTTTAATATCAGTGGCGTACAGTAGAACATCGGTCTTATGTCTAGGATTATAGAATACTGCTCTTTCCATTGATCAGACACTTCAGTACCTGTCTGAGTCTGTGGAGATACTTGGATTGCTGTCTTTAATATTCCTTGTTGTGGAATGCATCCTGACGTCCCTCTAACTAGCCCAACACTGGGCCTGAGAACAAGAAACTCATGATCGGTTCATAATCAGACAACCACATCGCAAACATAATTGACAAAGAACTTGTAAAAATAATTACAAGATAATCAAATAATGAAGCTTTAAAATCACCAAGGAGAAATCCATCTTGAGGGAAGTTGCAGTTCATTCAATTTAAAAGGTGCGGAGGAGCTGACACTAGTTTTTCCAAGATTAGTGCGGACGTACGGGATAGCTAAGGTTAAGTAGTAACCGGATTGTATACTGTAGTGACAATACTTAAATGGGAGAAGAAATGTGAGGTGGTTTGGAAGCTTTAACATTATAGCTTTATAAATAAATATGAGATGATTATTTCTTGTCCATAAGTATGTCTGTCCATCTTTCTAATACAGAGCAATGATCACTATCAAATGTGTTATTAGTGATGAAATGTAATGCACTATTTTAAACAGGGTTTGGCTGATGTAATGACTGTACAGAATATCCTTTGTAATCAAGGGCACACAGCAAAGTTGACTGAACAATAGTTTTATGGTTAAGACAGACAGCCTTTAATTCTACACAGAAAGCCATTAGATTTTTAATTTTTGAGTCCAGTGTTGAATAAGTCTCTTGAATGACAGTCCCCTGTCAAGCCAGATTCCTAAGTATTTGTGTGACTCAGCAAGAGTGATATGAGTCGAAGTGCTTACTGGAAAGCAGAGCATCAGAATCAGAATCAGAATCAGAAATACTTTAATAATCCCTGTGGGGAAATTACTTCAAAGGCATCAAAGGCAGAGTAAACACAAGTCAGTCTGAGTTGGGATGGAGCCTGCCATATAAAATTGTATCATCTGCATAAAAACTTTACTGATAAGAAGAATAATTTTATTTACGTGTGTGTGTGTGTGTGTGTAATGTAAATAACAATATACCCCTGTGGCACCCCATTACCAATGGTAAGAAGGCTTGACTCAGCACCATCAGCCATGACAGAGTTCTCCCTGTAAGGTAGGCATCAGTAGCACATCATCTCGACCTAAAGATTGTAGTTTCAGTAGGATTTTATGATCAACATTATCAAATGCTGTTGAGGCATATGAAGCAAGCAGAAAATATCAGTTTAGACACAGCGTCAAAAGATACAAGTTTCAGATAATTGTAGTCGTAGTCGTAGTAGTAATAAAAAAACTGAAAAATGTGCTCATAGTGATGATCCTGTTTTATAAATGTAAAAATTAATCAAATCTCAGTAAACATGCTAAGTCAATCATTTGTTCTCCTGCATTTTAACAGCCTTTTTTCTGTTTTTGAAAATTCAACTGCTCATTACTAAGTGTAATTGTGCATTTATATTAGAACATGTAACATATTTCAAGTCTGGATAAGATTCAAGTGACTTTGAAAAACAGAAAACATTGTTACCTGCTACAGATACAAATGCATGAATTTAGCTCCTCCCTCATGAGGAAGAACTGGCATGCATGATTTTAGCAACCAGCTACATGTCATTTTGAAAGGAAGAATAAGTACCAAAACATAAATTGTCTAAAATTCTATGCATGGGTAACACTACCCAATTTAAACACAGTGTTGTAAAGAAGAAATTTTCCACAAATGTTACAATATTGCCAATTAATTCCAGTATAACTGTGTCCAAATAACAGTTGCTCTCTTGCTTCCTAATGAAAGAAAAAATACTTGCACTGCACACTTTGGAGAGGATGTGTTCTGGTAGCTGACAGTGCTGATCCAGCATATTGTAGCCTCTCTCCCACAGCACTTGACTTTGTGTTGGGCAGCAGTAGATGATTAGTTCCTGTACCTCCACAGGTACATCGGCATCTGGAATCGCCTGTGCTGTGATATGCTGTCACCACCAGCTGTCAGAGGTTTTCTCCTGGGATGCTGATAACTACCAGTACATGATGTAATGAAAGGGTATTCCCTTTAAATTCCCCAATGGAATCCCTCAGATTTTCACGATATTTTATGTTTAATCGTCAGATTATTTGAAGATCTTGATTTTTGTTTTTTATTTTATATAATCTATTCTGTGGTATTTAAAGGTACTGACACTAATTTCTAGAAAATGGTCCTGGGACTTCTCAGCCCACCATCACCAGAAAAACATAACTAACTAACATAATTTTTTAATACACTTCTAACTTGATATTTAATGTGTTGAATGTGTATATTTTGGAGGAAATGTAATGCAGCCTGGACCATGTTCACTGGCAACGTTTTTCAGTCGTTTCAGTCCTGGAAGTGCTATGCTGTTCTACCTCAAAGTTGTTTGGGGGTTGGTGATCGGGGTGGATGGTAGATGTAAAAGAGTTGGAAACCAGTGACTGGGGTTTATGTCTTGCGTGCTATTAGCTATTATCACTAACTCTGCAGAGCTCTTTTGCCTCTTTCAGCTCATTGTTTTGGCTTTTTGGCTTTAACCTTTATGGTTCTGGTTCAGCACTTTCATCAACCTGGTATCCAGCAGTAAATGATTTCAGTGAAAACATTACAGTAAATCTACTGTACACTTTCCCAGCACCAAACAGTAGACATATAAAATATTTTTTCTCTGGAGTTGGTGGAGACCAAACCAAAGTTAAAAGCAGAGTCAATATTGGACTTAAAACATTCATCAAGGGAACACAAAACATGGCTCTAAATGAATGATAATTTTGCTCAGTGTCTGCTGAATGTGTAAACGGGCAGCTACCTGCTAACGTAGGTCATGTTAATAATGTCAAATGTGTGTGATGTTCCGCTTGTTGTGGAGTTCTGCCCCCAAGTGGTCAAAAAGAGATTAGTGCTGCTTTATTTGTGAAATTTTTGTGTCATTTCTTTTAAGTAACATGTAAGTTATGTGAGGTACATTCCATAAGATAATTTTATTCATGTGCTTAAGTCAGGTATGTACTTAGGGTCTTTTCCTAAACCTAACCAAGTAGTGGAAGTTTTTGTGCTTAACCGTAACCAAACTGACTGTGTGAGGACATGCCTGAGGATATTAAAGCAATACAAACTAAATAAGTTAACAGTGAACTGATAAGCTAGAATGAAGATTTTGCAGCTTTGCAGATTCCTTAAATTTTTAGAAGTACCAATGTAATTTGGTGACAGTTCTGTGTTAATATTTTTTTTTATATGAAAGTAGAAAAAAGTAGGCACTATATACACACATTTGCCACTGGATCTTGCATCACTACCTACTTGTGTTTCCATGTGCCTGTGTGCAGAACGCTGTCTCTCCAGGCTGGTCATCAGATAAAGGCAGTCTGCCTGGCTGGCTGATAGTCATGCACTGCCATGAGAATAATGAGGCTAATTTACGCAGCAGATGACTGATAACTCCCAACAACCTTTGTGGAGGAGGGAAAAATGCAGCAATATCACAGGCACTTTTAATTAGGATTGGTGACTGCCAACAGTACAGTACATGTGAACAGTGCACTAAAATAAATTCACTCTTCTTTCTTAGAAACTGAATGCTCAATATGTGTCACGTATTGTCTTCATTACAACAACATCCTTGTAATGTAGTTTGTGTTAATTGTAACTATCAGGACTGTCACTACCTCTGAGGACAATGAGATAATATTTTTTTCTGGGAATCTGGGGCTGTTTGCATTTTACACTGGTTATTTTATAGGTTGATTCCAATATTTTAGTATTATTTCCCCACCGGTTTCATTTTAGTAGTGTGGGAGTTGCTGTCCAGAAAGGGGGGAAAAAAAAATGTTGATTTAGAATATTTCTCTAAATGAAAATGCAAGGTAAAGTCAGTTGTGGAAGAAGTATTCAGGAGACAGCAATATAGAAATACTTAACTAAAAGTACAGAAATATTATCAGCAAAATGTACTTAAAGAATCCAAATAAAAGTACTACTTATAATTACTAGTACTAATTTTTGGCTGCTGTGAGTTATGCCTTATTATATATTACATTATTAGATATTGAATATCATCGCTTCAAATTTGCCAACACTGCAGTAGGTAATCATTTTTTGGTATATTCACTGAAACTTTCACTATATCCTGACAGTAGTACACGAGACAGATGATCTGTGAAAAAAATCTGGTTCCTTTGGCTCCTCCTAGTGCTCCTGCTGAACGAAAACAACCAGTCAGAGCAAAGAATGAGAGTTGATTGTTGATTCTCAGGTTGTAAAAAATCGATGCTGAGAATCAAGAATAAAATATTTTCAAACCACCAGCCCAAAGCGTCATTCCATCTTCCTCAACTCTGAGCGTTTTTTACCATGATATTGTCGTATATTGTCCCATTACTACACTACACATACATAAAACATGTATAAAAATATTTAAATTTAATTGTACATGTATCACATCTAAACATAAGAAATCTAAAGGTGTTGCCTACATTGCCGAATGGTAGAAGCCTACCCTGTGTGATCAATATTAATACACATTATTTAAGCACTCCATTGTGTTTTTTATGTTAAATTTTAAATCTGAAAAGTAAATATAGCTGTTAAATAAATGTAGTAAACTACAAGTGTGAAGTAGCACTAAATGGAAATACTTAAGAGGTACTTAAATAAATGTGTTCAGTTACTTTCTACCTGAGTGCTGTAAACCACAGGTATCCATAGCAACAGCAAAAAAAGCCTGAAGCATCAGGCTTTTTTTTCTCTCAGGGCACCTTCTTCACATATGTAACATCATATATAGATTGTACACATACATGTCATGAGCCGTTCTCATGGGGTTTACATGCAAGAAAGCACCCCAGGATGTGTGTTGTAGTGTTCGCAGTAGTAAAATCAATGCTAATGGACCCATTGTAACCCTCTGTCTCTTTCTCTTTGACAGTGATGGAACCAAGAGCGGCCACTGGATCCCTTGTCAGCTCCATTTCACAGTGGACAACATGAAGGAGGAACATCTACTCGCCCTGATAGCCAGAGAAGTCCATTCCATCAGACCGTGCACCATGAGTCTTGATAGCATCTGTTCTGAAGTGTAAAAAAACCCCAAAAACAAAACTCATTAATACATCACCTCCTCCTCTCTCCCTCTGCTGGTCCTCTCTTTAACACTTAGGAGGAAAGCAACAATACCTCCATTCCTACTGGACAATTACTGATGTGATTGACCTTAAGACTGTTAACCACAACGACTGTTCTCCTACTACTGCCCCTTTCCCCCTTTAAAAACATATTTTTATAAGACATATTTATCTGAATATATCTCTGCACATATTGTGGATAAAACTGTGGATCCTTGAAAATCCGCCTCATCACCTGAAGATTCGATTTTATTGATTCCCCATCAGACACTTTCTTGGATTAATATTTTTTGCAGCTATGGATCTTGTAGGTTTTTCTATCAGGCTGCAAGTGTTCCTCAGCACATGTCTGGGACTGGAATTTTTAGGCACACCAGGTCAGTGGGCACGCTACCTCCGCTGGGACGCCAGCACCCGCGGTGACCTCAGCTTCCAGTTCAAGACAGAGGCCTCGAAGGCGCTGCTGCTGTACTTTGATGACGGAGGCTACTGTGACTTTCTGCAGCTGTCGGTGGTGGAGGGCCGACTGCAGCTGCGCTTCAGCATCGACTGTGCTGAGACCACGGTGGTGTCCGACAGACGGGTGGACGACAACAGCTGGCACTTTGCCACTCTGAGCAGGTATAACCTGCGCACAGTGCTCGTACTGGATGGCCAGGCCAAAGCAGATGAGGTGCGGCCTCAGCGTCTGTTCATGAAAATAGTCAGCGACCTGTTCCTGGGTGGAGTGCCTCAGGATATCCGCAATGGTGCGCTCACACTGCCCACAGTGCGAAACATGCAGCCCTTCAGGGGCACAATTACAGACCTCAAATATGGCATCTCACAGCCCCTGTTCCTGGGAAGCCTTAAGGTGCCCCTGGAGTCAGAAGGGTGGTGCACCATGAACCCGTGTGAGAATGGCGGTACGTGTTCCGTGGTGGATGGAGAGCCGGTCTGCGACTGCTCCAAAACAGAATACAAGGGCCGCTTCTGCAGTGAAGGTAACACACGCCTTCAAAGCCTCTGACACTGCTGTCATTTACTTCTGAAAATTGAAAACATTGCAGTCTAACCTTTTTAATTTTTTATTTATTGCAATTCCAGCTGAAGCAATCATGTAAAACTTGCCTCAAAACCCACTGCAGTTCCTGGGTGCAATATTTTTCCTTGATTGGTGCAGGCATGACCCGCCCTTCTCAGGGCCCGCCTATTTTTGCTCTGTGCTCCAATAGCAGTGGAACAAATCTCAGTCAGAACCTCAGTCAACTTTCTCCTTTCCTGTACTTAGACATGCATAGCCTCGTCTATGTTGAAAAGACAACCACATTTTCACGATGGTTAAAAGATAAGTGACATAGTCAGATTTTAAGCCCTAACCCTAACCCTAACGCCATATAACTAGCTTAACTAGATGTAAATTGGCTACGGAGTTGCCTAGAGTTTTGCCAACTAGCTATCAGATGTAAGTAGCTAGCTAATTATTTATGTTTGGTAAATTATTGAGCTAGTAAACTAGCATTTGGCTAACATTAGCTAGCTTAAGATGTAACTGTATGCATTTACCTTTTAACCATCTTCAAAGTGTGGTTGTCTTTTTAACATAGATTAGC